AAACCGACGACAAAGTATTACTCAAATCACTTCAACTTTTCAACAAATTTTCATCATACATCGAAATAAATACTTATAATTTCTTACTTTAGATTTTCAATCTTAACCACACATCATTTCTCTATGTACATGATTGAGCATCCCACATGGCCATTAACCAAATGTGTTGTGGTCCAAATTATGTAGTTGATACCATCTATCCACACAGTAAATACCGGCAGATGGCCTCTCCCCAATAATGGTCCCAACAGAAACAGCCAATGCTTGGTTCCCAATTCAAACACTACAACTGTTCGTACATGTTGGATTGGAGGCAAAATATATAACATATTCGGACATAAATTTGTTTCCTTTTCAACCAACTTTCAAGGGCGTGTGAGAAAGTTAGCTAGCACAAAGCAGCAGCCCATGAGACACATAATAATAAGCTCAGTCTAATTTATATATATGGTTTTAATTATTTATTTATTTAGTTTTTAGCTTTGAGGTAGAGGTGTACGTGTCATCATCACTACCCCACCCCCACCCTGGTTTTTTTTAAGTGCAAAGCATACATAATAATTAAAGGGAGTTTCACTAAAACACCCAAAATGGAGGTTGAAATTATAAAAAAACCCAACACCCAAAACACTTTATAAACACACCCAAAACCCATCATTACACACACTCAAAACTCATTTATAAACACACCCAAAAAGTTGACTTTGGAGTTGATTTTGGGTGAGTTTCTATGTTTAAATAGTGCTTGGGTTTTTTTATAAATACATGTCTAGGATTGGGTTTATTTATAAATTTGTAATAATTAAACCTATGCACAATTTAATTTAATTTCTTGGTAATTAGGATTATACTGTTTAATTTGTTCCCTGAATAATAGAAGAACTGTTAGCTAGGCGAAAAGAAGGTTTCCTATTATCACATCACATGCAACCTAAACACTTATGTGACCCCTTTGTTTTTTTGTTTTTTTAGGTATAATACTAATATAGTACACCCAGTTGCAGTGGGGTCCTCAATGATTCATGCCCTTCATTGTACCAATATATATACAGATCTTCCACTCTCTCTTCATCTGCCCACAACTTATTAGTATTTCCATTGAAGAGAGAGAGATAGAGAGAGAGAGAGAGAGAGAGAGAGAGAGAGAGGATTTTGAGGTTCCTTAGTTCTATAGGGTGACTCTATAGATGGGAAGAAGTCCTTGTTGTTCAAAAGATGAGGGCTTAAATAGAGGAGCATGGACAGGTATGGAAGACAAAATACTGAGAGAGTATATAAGAGTTCATGGTGAGGGCAAATGGAGAAACCTTCCCAAAAGAGCAGGTGAGATTGCTTTACTCAAAAAAACTTCTCTTTTTCTTCATATATTTCAAAGGGAAATGCATAGGGCATATCATTGATGGAATGGATGGGTTTTGCAGGGCTTAAGAGATGTGGGAAAAGTTGCAGGCTCCGATGGTTGAACTATCTAAGACCGGATATCAAGAGAGGAAACATCACTCGTGATGAAGAAGAGCTCATCATCAGGCTCCACAAACTCCTTGGAAACAGGTATATAATTTTTGGGTAATAATATAATATCTTACGTCTCACCACGTATTGAAGTTGAATATTTTATTAAATACGCATTTTTCTTTAACCTCAAATGATTAAGAGCATTTACTCTAACTTCGATTCTCCACTTTCTCCGTATATTACTTTTATAAAAAAAGTATATGAGTTTTATAATATTGCGTTATTGGTGCAGATGGTCTTTGATAGCTGGAAGGCTCCCAGGCCGAACAGACAATGAAATCAAGAATTACTGGAACACTACGATTGGAAAGAAAATTCAGGGATACCCATTTGCCGATGGAAATCGTAAACCACCAAAGCAAACCCAAGAAAACCAAAAACCCACGCAACCCCCTAAAGTCGATACAAATTCATGCACCAAAGTGGTCAGAACAAAGGCATCAAGGTGCACCAAAGTGTTCATACCCCAAGAGGCACAAAATCTTGATGACCAAATTCGGGACGACAATGACCACGTGTCCAATAATGCTCCACTCGTGGCCGTTGACCAGGTCACCGATCAAGTTGCTGGGATTGAGGAGCCATTGTCACCCATATTTCCTTTGGATGATGAAAACAGCTCGTGTGAGTTCATGGTGGATTTTAAGATGGATGAGAATTTTCTGTCGGATTTTCTTAATGTGGATTTTTCTGAGCTCTGTAATAATGGAAATGATGAGGGAGGTAGCGTTGCTTCTGCTACTACATGTGACAAAGTCCCAGATTTCCAATCTTCCTCCATGGCTCCTGTCATTGACTATGACTTAGACTGGCTCATAGATAATACAGCTCATTAGTAATAAATAATTAGCTAGCCCCAAAAACTTTAGCTTATACGTAATTAGCTTCTTAATAAGAAAATGCTTCTTGTTGATCTTGTGTGTGCGAGTGTACAAAATATGACGTGAGTCCGTTTCTTTGTAGGCACTTGCAGTCGGTGATTACATGAATTTTATAGGGTAGTCAATTCGATCAACGACTGCAAGTCTCTGGATGATCAAAGTCTATTATGGTCATCCACAGTGCTAGAGGATGTTATGTCATGTGCAAAATAATTCCTCGTGTTTCTCAATCTCTGCAATATGTACTTGTTGTCGCAATAAAACCAAGTTGCCAGTCTTGAATTACTTTTTTGGTGTAATATCTTTTTCTCCATTCATTTCATTGACGGATATAAATTGGAATATACTAAGTACTAACAGTGGTGGATTTTGCCAGCTCTAGTTACATCATCACGGTTTTGATCATAATATAACGGTATGGATTATGTTCGAATGAGTGATTAATATTTTATAATTATATTAAATTATATTAAAAATCATTAACGGTAAAAAATTGTAACAATAAAAAGGGAGAAGGGAATGAAAGATGTAAGAGAATGTGCAGTCAAGAAATGGAGATATAATAAGAAGAGTTTTTCTGTTTAAATCCCGCACTTCTCTTTGTTCACCCTATATTCTAAGTTCATCCCAACTTCTAATTCAAATTTACACAATTTCTAAGAAACCTCACTATCTTCCCAAACTACCCATAAATACACACCCAGCAGAAGAAAAATAAAATAAAAAACTTATCAACTTCACACTCCACACCCCGCTATATTGCCCATCACCACTCTAAGTTCACATGAATCTCACATTATTTAAAGAGATAAAAACAATGTTGTCAAACTCAATTGACAACCCACAAGCCACTATTTGCATACCGTATTTAGGGTTTGTGAAGAGAAGATGAGAGTGTAGTAGGTTTCTTGTTTGAAGGAGAAGAGTAATTTGGCAATAGAGTGTAGAGGAGTTTGTATTTTTCTAAAACTTAATATGAAGAATAGTGGGGTGTGTGTATAAGTGTACTAAAGTTAAGTATTAAGTTGGATGACTTTTTTTTGTCTTTTTACACTAATAAAACTTAAGAGCTTAGTGATTTAAATATTGGGGTGAATAAAGAAAAGTATGGGGTTTAAATAGAAAAACTCTAATAAAAATTTGTATGGTTGGATTTATAATATAATCGCTTTAAATGAAAAGCAAGAACAAATCATATTTTAGTTTGGCAACAAAACAATATAACTGGTTGATTTTTTTAATGGCATTTTAATTGATTGATCCATCCTTCTATGTTATTTTTGTGGCTTTTGGGTCAGTTAATCATAAACTTATTAGAAATCATAATTCAACAGGTTCAACCAAAAATTAACCTTTCATTAAAAATAATGAAAAACAAGATTTAGCTTAGTGAAAAAGACTTTGACTTGCATACTACTGTGTGTGAGAAAATCTCTCTCCTAATATCACTTGTATACAAAAAAAAATAGTAATAATAACGAAGAAAAGTAGACTTGATGATAAGATTGTCTAATACAAGTGTGAATGAAAAAATAACAAACCCATTTAGTGTAAGAACTTTGTGTTATCACAAAGTGCAATTGTCACATAATCTCATGATTACATCCATACTATTTTCAACAAAAAAGAGGAAAAACCCAATCTTTATTGTTGTTGGATGTATGTTTAAAATATATTACCTTAATGTTAGAGGCTCAGCTTCAAATGGATTCTCTATCAACCAATCTACTCTCCTTTTCTACATCCAAATGTCACAACCTTCTCTTCTTATAATATATATATATATATTAATACAAGCGAGAGTCTAAAGACTACAAAGGAAGAAATATCTCTGATACATACACTACCAAGGTGCAATGGCAGACCCACAAAAGCGCAAGGAGATGCACCTGCAACTCCCCTCGCCAAAAAATGCTTTGGAGGTGATGAAATCTGCACCTCTGCTCTGCCCTGGAAGTGCCCACAAACTGCTCGAGGAAATGCTTCAACGAAACTCATTTTGTTCGCTATGTTACTAGGCTGTTGCGCGCAGCACATTGCTCATATTTTTATTTATTACAAAGTACTTGACCAAAATAGCGTCATTTTGAACGAGGACAAAAAAAAAGAAAAAAAAAAAGAGATGAAGCTTAATTCCACGGAACTTGCTGCCAAAGTGCCCTCAGACTTGCAGTTCATCATAATCAGTATTATATATATTAATAATTTAATACAAAACATCCAAGTTCCAATCGCAAGGTCTTTGTTTTTTTTTTTTTTTTTTTGGAGAGGACTCCATCCAAGTCTTTACAAAACATCTTAGCTAAATAAATAAAAAAGTCCTTATAAAACATCATATTCATTTTTTTTTTATGTCCCCACCACACCAAGTTTTTTAATTTTTTAATTTTTTTTAAAAGAGAATTCCAAATCTTTATAAAAACTTATTCATATTGCATCTCCACTGAAAAATTCATGGGTCCGCCAGTGCCAATATGCTATAAGCGTTCGAACTGCAAGTCAATACCCTTTTTCACTAAGCTAGACTATGGCCTCATTATATAGTATCACAATTATGAAATGATTAAGAAAAACAAAATTAAAACAAAATGGACCGAGCCAAGTCGACGGTGAGACACTGATCCAATAGGCCCACTGTATTCGGTCGAAACCCAATTTTCCAAATTTCCAAACCTAACAGGATCGAATTGAAATTCCAATTCCATCATTAGCCTTGTTATTTGAAACCCCTGATTCTTCCGTCCAAGTTCAATTGTTTGTAAGTTGAGGCGTTCGAATCAGAGATCGATAGCAATGTCGACCGTGGAGTCTCCGAGCGCTGTTAGAAAAGGTGAGCCTTTTAGACTTATTATGAATAACCCATTATTTCTCAATGTTCAGTTGAGGGTTTTTAAATTTTCTAAGCTGTTTGATCAGTTTTAGAGTTTGGGTTTTTGGAGCTTTGTTTGATGGTGGGTTTTTTGGGGATTTCAATTTGGTCCAGTGGTTGTTCATCTGAGAGCTACTGGTGATGCCCCTATACTGAAGCAAGCCAAATTTAAGGTCTGCCCTTTTCCGTTACAGTGTTTTTGAATGTTAAAAACTGTTTTCCACTCGATCATGGTTTATGATGAAGGTTCTGTGTCTCAAGAACAATGTTTGGAATTATCTAGGTTGGCTTTGGGTCTTGTTTTTGGTTTGATGATTTATATGAGTTTCTACATTTTGGTTCTTCAAACAAGATTATACTTTTGGTGTCTGCTCTTAATGGCCTTTTGCTCTTCAATTGCTTTATTACAAATCCTTAGTTCGTTCTTTGACCTTGAAGTGAGGCATTTGTTAGAATTTCCAACCAACTCCTAGGTTCCATACTTCATAGCCATGGGGCATTTGACTGTGAGCTAAAAGAAAAAAAGTTATAGTCTCATTGGGTGGGTACAATGACTAGAAAGGAATAACTTTTGTGAATTGTAGTGAATGAAATTTCATAGTATAATGAAAAGAATATCGAACGATGCTTTATGATGGGAGTTGAAGCTTTTTCTTATGTCTTGAACAATTTCTACAATGAATTTTAAGAAATAATAGATATCATGATGGGACATGTTGATTCAGTAAGCTGCTTTTATTTTTCCAGAAATTATTTTGTGCCACTTGAAACTTTCTTTCTCTATGATTAGTTTTTCTATGGGAATATTAAAGTTAATTCTCCTCCAAGGACAGATTCTTGGAACTGACAAGTTTGCGAAAGTGATTGAGTTTCTAAGAAGGCAACTTCACCGGGATACCTTGGTAAATCATCTCGTCATTTATGTCTTAGATGATTTACAATCGATAAGTTATGGTGAACTAATCCCATCTTCCTTTTTTGGTAGTTTGTGTATGTCAACAGTGCATTCTCTCCAAACCCAGATGAATTGGTGATTGATCTCTATAATGTAAGTTCGTATAACTAAGAAATATTAGTATGACTTGATTTTTTTAAATAGTGCTCTGTTCATCAGTTCAAAAAGTTCTTAGTGAAGAGGGTTCAAGTTGCATCATCTGTGAAGGGAAAAGATTCTGCCAGTTCTTATGTCCTTTAGCTTTTTTTCATATCTGAACTGTGGTCGAGATTCTAGTGACCTCTGCAGATGTTTATCTTGAAACAGTTTTGGATAAATCTGGGAGTTTATTCACTTGTATTTATCAACATTGCAGAATTTTGGTTTTGATGGTAAACTGGTGGTCAATTATGCTTGCTCCATGGCATGGGGCTGACACTCATGTTTCGGCTGACAGTACCTATTGATAGTGTAAGTAACCGATTACATTCTGAATTAGAATTCGCTATTTTTATTTAATAAGTACTTATATTATTATACTATCGAATATGTAAGTGCAACGAGAGGGATATACAGTACCATTTTAGCCCAAACAGTTCACATTATCACAACTCTCACTTCTTTTCATCCCCCAAAAGAAAATGATCTTTTTGTTTTTTTATCACTGACTTCTACAAGCACTGCATGTTCAGGTGAACACGAAATTATTCCTTCCGCACAAGCAAAGGGAGCATGAGTTGCTGTCCATTTAAAAAAAAATTCGGACCAGGGATGGATGAAGATATTTCAATACTTTTTTTCTTCTCATTGTATATATGCTATGATTACTCTTGGTTGGGATGTAACTATCTGCTTTTGTTACTTTTTCTATAAATCTAGATGTAAAGGCAAAAAATTGATATATGCTGGTTCAAACAATTTACCTATCTTCCGTATTTGAATGACAGTGATTTTGTCGCCCTAATGCTTTCCCATCTGTCCAAAAGTCCAAAAGAAGAAGGAAAAAAATTCCGATGATAGAAGGGATTGACAGATCCAGCCTGATCTCGAGACATATCAGGTTTGGGACATAGCACGGGCTTCATCTTCATGGCGGTGGCAGATAACTCAGTGGAGAGTGGAAGTTCTAAGAAATTGACTTGAAGTTTTGTAGTTTTCCTTTGGTTTGGGATGTAGGCGAATTATTCAGAGCCTAAATGGGACACGAGCTAAGTGGGATAGTGGGCATTAAGAACCGCTGCCTCTCTGTCAGGTGGTGGACTTTAGTATCCAATAATGACAATCAATCCTATCACCTGTAAGCAATTAAATCTAAGTGCGCAGGAATTATCGACTAGTTTTTACCCTAGTAGTACTGTTCTTCTTAATATTGGAAGAGGTTGAAGAGGTCTTTAGTTCAAATTCCTCGTTCCATCATTGATAAAAGGATAACGTCCATTTGTTAAACTGCATATGTACTCAATTTCAACAGATTTCCCAGAACCACATCAGAAAAATGAAGGAAGCCCTGCCGTCAGAAATTTCGAGTTTTCTAATGTGCTTGGAACGAAGTTATTACTATGCACATCCATTCTTAGAAAGACTTAATATGTGACAGACAGGATGCAGTTTTATAGTAGAATATGAGAAGAATCTTGAATGATGCTTAGACTTGTTTGGTATCCTACTCAAAAAAGTAAATTTAAAAACTATGATTCTTTTTTAAAATATGAGTTTTTCAAATAGTGATTTTAAGATCTAAAAACTTGTTTGGTATTGAACACCGAACTATTTTTAAAATCTAAAAAAATTGAAATTAAAATTAGAAAATCATAAACTCTAGATTCCCAAATTGAAATTAACAAAAGAAAAGGGGAGAGAGAGAGAGAGAGAGAGAATTATAAAACCTCCCTGTTTTTGTTTTTAATAATAGGGTGTTTTTGAATTTTTCTTGGGTTTGAGTTTTTAAAAATGGGCTTACTAAACGGGTTTTTGTGGTTTTGGATTTAAAATCTGTTTTTGAGTTTATAAAATTAGATCCAAGTAGGATAACAAACACGCCCTTTGTGATGGAAGATGAAGTATTTCCTTTTCCTTCTCCTGTTTTGATTTTCGTTTTTTCTCTACAATAATGGTTTAAAAAAATAATACTTTTTCTCCCATAAATTATTTTGTGCCACTTGAAGCTTTCTTTCTGCTATGATACATTTTGAAGGACAGATTGGTGAAGGGTAAAGTTAATTTCATCATTTGTGAGTGGGAAAAGGTTCATGCTACTTGGTTCTTGTGTCCCTTGATTTTGTTCCCATGTGAAGGAAGCATGTTTGATAGTGTAGTACCGGAGTACATTCATGAATGCATTCTGCTATAGCATTATCCATATCTAGTATGTCCTTGCAATGGGAGAAATATACAGTACTTTTATTGGTTCAATCAACTCACTTTCTCCCCATCCCTCACTTTTCAACGCACCCCCAACCTCCCCACAAAAGAAAACAGTTCTTCCACACATGCAAAGGGAACATCAGTTGCTGGTAGAATGAAAATTCTGACCAGGAAAAAGGGCATATGGTAGATAAGAAGCCATTTGGCGAGGGGAGTCGAAATTGGTGGGATCTCTTTTAACATGGGGAAAAAAATATCATTAGACCAAAAGCTAGTTGCACATACAAATTTACTTATATATCGACCTCAGTATATGTACATATGTGGATAAATGAACGTGATATTGAGTACTTGTATAGCAGGCTTCATGGCAATGTAAACTGAGAAGAATTTTCAGAAATTCAGGGGGCATTTGGTATCCTATTCAAATAAGGAACTCAAAAACTTTGATTTTTCTTAAAAACAAGGAGTCCTTAAATCTATTTTTAAGATTCAAAAACTTGTTTGGTATGCAACTTGAAAACTGTTTTCAAATATTAAAAATTTGAGAACTTGTGGGTTGTTAAAAAAAATTGAAAAAACAACTATTTTTTGTTTTTTAATAATTGGGATGTGTTTTAGTTGTTCTTGAGTTTGAGTTTTTTAAAATTGGGCTACCAAACAGGTTTTCTTTGTTTTGGACTCAAATTCTGTTTTTGAGTTAAAAAAATTAAATTCAAGTTGAATATCAAACAGGCCCTGAGGGGGCGTTTGGTATGCTATTCAAATAAGAAACTCAAAAAATTTTATTTTTCTTTAAAATAAGGAGTTCTTAAATCTATTTTTAAGATTCAAAAACTTGTTTGGTATGCAACTTGAAAACAGTTTTCAAGTCTTAAAAATTTGAGAACTTGTGGGATGTTAGAAAAAATAGAAGATATTTTTTATTTTTAATAATTGGGGTGTTTTTTAGTTGTTGCTGAGTTTGAGTTTTTAAAAATAGAGCTACCAAACAGGTTTTCTTTGTTTTGGATCCAAATTTTGTTTTTTAGTTTAAAAGTTGAATTCAAGTTAAATACCAAACAGGGCCTAACTGGAAGCTTTGTATTTAGCTTTGAGATATCAATTATTCAAAGTCTTAATTTGAATTATTGTCAATGATTAAGTGGTAAAGAATTTTCTTTTCTTTTGGTTATAATGGATGGAAATCAAACTCTTAATTTTACGTAATCCTAACTCATTTTTCACCAGATCACTACTCGAGGGTAATCAAGGGCTTGCAAATTAAAAAGGTTAGCTTCTGTGTTAGGTGTGGGACTTTAAATGTTTAGGTATGTACATTAAAATCTTAACGTCCCATTTGTTAGAATATGCTTGTATTAAATTCCAATACATATAATATGTATACTCTCAGCTCAGCTGGATAGAGTTTTGGAGTTTTCTAAGGTACTTGCAAAGAGATTATCACTTTGTATATTCATTCTTAGAAAGAATTAATCTGATCATCGTGTGACAGAATAGACAAATCGAATTTATAGGAAATGAAATTAATATGAACTAAATTCTGCCTAACCTGAGTTTTGGAGCTATTCTCATGCAACATGAACAATTATTTAGGCAGGGAGGACGAGGACCACATCTCTTTACTTTTCAGTCCTTCAGGGGGTCCTCAAAGCTGCAGTTGATGCATGCATTGATATTTTAATTGTATGGTGTCCAGGCTCCAGATTAAGCAGAAAAATCTAAAACATGTTCTACCACTCTCTGGAATGTGGATGCAATGGATCCCCACAATACATCAACAACTCATAGTTGCTTACTCATGCGCGAGTTATCATCAACAACTCATAGTTGCTTACTCATGCACGAGTGACTGATGTTATCATAACCCGTATATTGTAAATTAGAATCTTAGTTGACCAAAGAAGAAAACTGGAGGCTTAAAAGTTTCCTAACTATACTCGTATGAATCACAAATAGTTCTGTCGGTGACTTGTTTCAACTGAAATGAGATGACAGTAAAACACAAAATTTATTCATGCCAAAATCATCGAAATTCTGTGCTGTATAAAAAGAAGAATTTGGGGAAGATCTGGCAAGGCAAATGGTAAACTTATGAAAAGCTCTGAGCCCCATGTAGCCTTTTGTCTCATCATAACACATCTATGCTCCAACTATTGTCCACAATAATACAGACAACTTTCTTTCTCTTTTATTATTACTCTTCACTATCTTTACATTCAAATCCTCCACTATAAAAGAATCTCTATAACCAACTGGGAACTACATGACAAATATTCCTGCAGTGTTAAATGCTTCTGTTCACCATCTTTCAAAGACGACCTTAAAAGTTGCCATCCATGAGCATTATTAGTATTATTATTATTTTTTGTTCTTATTATATTTAGCCTGCATGTCCATTGTTTTCAACCAGTTGATATGTGGTGGTGGTGGTAGTTTAGATGACCATCAATATTGTAAGTTTGATATACATCGTTGTCGACTCTCTGACAATTTAATCTTTTGGGGTTAGTGGTTATTTAATATGGAATCAGAGTCTTTTTTTACAAGTGGTGGTCCCCAATGGCATGTACGTGAGGCAAGATTGATATACACTGTCAGTTCATTCTCTAACAGCTTAAACTATTAGGACCAGTGATTGTCTAACAAGTATGTTGGCCAAAAGATGGTAATCGGGTCACGCTCGATCACGTTTATACACTGGTTAATTGTACTTTTTAAATTTGCAATATCTCTAGAGTTCCTTTACTGGAGCATTTTCTAAATGTGATTAATCATAATTCAAACAAATTAACTTTTGAGGTGGCTCTTTAAGATTTGAATTACAATGTGATTATTATAATTCGAATCGGTCTATTTTTTGAGGTACTCTCTCGAAGATCCTCTTTCTAAAAAATCAACAAATTGGAAAATTATTTGAACGTCAACATCCCAATCATTCTAATATTTTTATTGAAAATATTGTGTTCGTCTATATATATATATATGTATATATACGTGTAGGTATGTATGTATAGAAGAGAAGGCAGAACTCGATTCACGAATATGATTAGGAGCATCGAAAAGCCTCAGTGATTTACAGTTTCAGCGCACCGACATAAACTCCACCAGATTCCTCAACTAAAATTTTAACCCAGTAAGAAAGAAAAGGAAAAAAGTTGTCCAGATGGTGAAATATAACATACAACTCTCTGATGATCATGAACTGCACCAAATCCACGAAGAGTAACCAAACGAAGCAGACAACAAAGTGGCATCAGTTAATAAGCCATCTGTCATCATCGAAGTCCAGGAATTTACTCACCCACTCCAAATTCAAAGGTCCCTCGTTGGAGAAATCAAAGAAGTCATCAACATCAATATTGTTCATGTTTTTGTTCGAGTCTTTGGATGCAAAGCTAGCACCTTCTTCTGATGACGAGTCTTCTTTCATTTCTATGTGGACCTTCTGGTGATGTTCTGCTAGGCTTAGTTTGTGGTCTGTGGAGACCATTTGTCTTGTTGGGTTGGCTCCAATTTGCTTCTCCTTCTGGATTATTCTCTTGCTCAAATGAGAGTTCCAGTAGTTTTTTATTTCATTATCTGTTCGACCCGGCAATCTTCCAGCAATCAAAGACCACCTAAGAAGTTAAAACACACAGAGAAAAGGGATCAGTTTTTATAAATAATCATGCAAACCCAACTTGATCCTAATTTGATTTTTGTACCTGTTTCCGAGAAGTTTGTGTAGCCTAAGGATCAAGTCCTCTTCTTGGTCAGATATATTTCCTCTCTTGATGTTGGGTCTTAGATAGTTCAACCATCTTAGCCTGCAACTCTTGCCGCACCGATTGAGGCCTGCATCAATCGAATTAAGACACTTTCAGCTCTTTGATCATGCTTAGATGTAATGTGATGAATGATTTTTGTTTCATTCCATTAATTTGTAGTCTGTAAAGATTATGATATATACCTGCTTTTGAGGCAATTGTCTTCCATCTTTTTGCACCATGTACTTCAATAACCTCTGCTAGTTTGTGATCTTCCTCTGCTGTCCATGCTCCCTTGTTGACTTCCCTTTTTGAGCTTTTCATGGCTTCCCCTGCCTTCGCTTTTCTTTTAATGGACTCTTCTGTCATAGGAGCCATTGGGTCGCTTTGTGTAAGTGTGTTTGAGTGAGAGAGAGAGAGAGAGAGAGAGAGAGAGATTTTGCGAGGCTTTTTGGGAAACTAAGTTATGCAGAGAGGCAGCTCTGTCATCTAACCTTCTTGATGGGAGAGAAGAAACAAAACCCCAACTACCACATATAAATATACAAGGTCTCTGGCGCAGGTGCAAGAAAAGAGACTTGAATTTTGATCATAGTGTTGATGATTGAGCAAAGAGAGTGCTGTAAAGGTTGTCAATGCTTACATTTTACTACAAAGGGGGCTGCTAAAGAAAAAAGTGTTGGATATTAGAATTTAATTTACTTAGTGCGCAAAAAGGTGGCAAAAGCATTGTGGTGAAAAGGGTAACATAAATGATGCATATCAGATCAGACGGCTGTGGTAAAGTTGATCAGATCCCCATAATAGGAGAGATCGTCAAGTAGTGGATATATGTGATTATTTTGTTAAGCAGCACAGTTTCTTTTTGCATGTGCAAAGATATAGTAAATAAAAAGGCATGCAGTCTTTTTAGTAAAAATAGTCTCTGGCAAAAGGGAAGAAAGAATAGTAGGGTTTAGATAGACAAGGAGAGATCAATACAATATTAAGGTTAATAAGTAGCAGTTTTGTCTTGAAAAGAATATGCTATATATGCTCTTCAGTAAATTCAGAGCCTTAGAATAAAATAAAAACATAAAAAAATCTGATAGAATTTAAGGTTGTTATCTTCATTTTTTTAGTACAAACGAAGCGATAGTCTAAATTAAAGGGGAGGGAGATTTCTCTCACACACACAACTAAGATATCATGAGGGTTCAAACCTGATACCCTTAATCTACAAATCAAGACCTCTTTTCATTGTACCAGACCCGTTTTTAAACTTGTTATCTTTTATTATCTCTAAGTATAGTGAGTGCATGTAGTTCTAATATAATTGGTTGAAGTGCTTATATTTTCTGAGTGAGGCCTCGAGCACTGGTCTGGTTTGTCACTGCACGTGACCCTCACGTGATTCATAGTAATTTATATGCTTAATTATAATTAGTAGTTAATACCTTTCTGTAATAGTTTGCATCCAATGCAAAAGTGAACGGCTTTGACCACAATAATGATGACTTTTTGGGATTGACCAATTGTCTAAATGTTGGTCTTCTTGCATGATAGACAGGGGGTCCTTAGTTAGAAAATGAATGCCTGGATCGGTTGAACTTGCTTTTAGGTGTGTAAAAGCCAATATATTTGCACTATAATAACTTTGTTTTGCTCAAATATAAACATGTGTTTGTTTCCTGATGAAATCAGTGAAACAGGAAGAAACATTAACTAATGGGGAATTAGGTTTGGGGGATTTCTTAATTTAAGGATTAGGTAGTGCAGACAGCAGCAGCTGTGGACCAAAGACAATCAATGCAGACAGACAGACAGATATTAGTTGAGATTCATCTATATGATACCTTGATTTGCATCTGATCTCTTGGGTTATGTTCTTGCAGTTTGGAATCTCATGGCATGCTGCAATCTTCTGAGTCTTAGAGAATTAAATTCCACACATCTCTATGCATCTACTATAAAAATATATATGCATCTCCCATGTTGTGCCAGATATTGAACCAAAAGAGAGGTCAAGTGAATTACTGAGCAATGGAAAAATAGGAAATCGTTTTCTAATTGAATTGGATTAGTTCAATGTGACAACATTTTTAGCCTAATAAAGCCAAACAGATAAAGCCCTTAATTAAATATATTAGAGGCCTTATGATGAAGCAGCAAAACAAGAATTTTTCCAAGATTTTTGTGCAGAAACAGTTGAGCTTTGAATTCAAAACAGTTGAGCTTTGAATTCATTGCATTAGCATTCCAATGAAACCTTATGGTTCATTGCATTATCATCCTCAAAACTAAAATGATTGTGTTCATCAAGATGGATTTTTGGTTCTTGGTTTTTTATTATTATTTCCAAACAATAATATTTATTTTGTAAGTTAACAGTGTTACATTGGAGTTAAGTGAATGGACGTATGTGAGCCAAATAGAGAAGAGACATGGAGGGACACTAAATTTGAGAACCGCATATCCCCTCCCATCTTAGTCACCTTATTTAAGTATTGAAATTAGCAACTAAATACAGAACCTCTAGCTAATTAAGATGATTAATTAATGAAGCATTTACTAGTTGGATGATAATCATTTCACTTGAATGGAACTTGTCAAATTTGAAAATGAGGTATTTGGTACATGGTGCTCTGAATAATAAGAAAGTCAATGTCAGCAGAGAAAAAGGAAAATTGAAAACAAAAAAGGATCCAATTTTTCTAGTGATTTGAAACAAAGGGTGGATGACCTAGAATGTGGTTGATGGCTTTGAAATATATTTGAATTTCAATAATACATAGATTTGTAGGATTATCATGCTAGAAGAGTAGGAAGCTAACTGTGCCCATTATCATTTGCACTTTACCCATTTGTAGAAAAAGCTGTAGCCACTTAGATTATAAATGGCCTACCTATAAGTGGAGAATCTGAAAACTAGGGTTCTTATAATATGTGAATCTTATTATTATACCAAATCTAAATAACAGGGTGGGGGGCATGTGGGCTTGTGTGAAGCCTGTGCTGCCAAACACAACAAGTTCGGATGAAAAAACTACAAAGAAAAAACATGGTGTGCATCAGAGAAGAAGGTAGAGTCACATTGTCAGTGCCAGAAGTTTTATGCAAGACTCAGAGATTAGGAGTTAATTAATTCATTAAACTAATGTATTTGGATGTCCTACAATTATGGAGTGTGTGGTACGTCCAAATTTGACCACAACGATGAGGTAGGTATCATATAAGATATACAACAGATCATAGAGATACATATTATTTCGGTTCGCTAGAAAAATATCGAAAGATAAATCGATACCGGTAGCATGATCAGGATGTGATTAATGGGACAAGTTAACTAACTAATTAGTGTTAACTATGTGTAGGACAAGTTAACTAACCAATTAGTGTTAACTATGTGTAGGACAACACGTTCAACTTAATTGACGAGGATTTGATTTCTGTAATCTACAAAAGGTTGCAAAGAGAAATAAAACTCTTTAAACTTAATGTTTTGGTACTTGAAAATTACAAAACTTCTCTTCTACTTAGAGCTAGGAAAGATTCACAAAACAAGAAGAAGTGTATGGCCTTGGCTTGTAGGGCTCTTTGGACATGCTAACTAAATCAAACCCACACTAAGGACTAAGCCCAGGAAGATAGGAGGACCAAGCCCAAAGCAATCCTTTGTTCAGAGTCTTGGCAGGCCTTTATCTGGTGTTTCTGCAACTAGAGCTCTGCACTGCTGCATTAGCAACAAAAGTTGGAAAACACATGACTTCTAAAACAGTTGCCCAAACCCAAAGGCTTGAATTAAAGAAGTAAATTGTTACAATGATAATAATGGAAGTTATAATAAGTTCCAAACCCAATCTAATTCCAATATCTCCGAATTTCTCATTAACGTGCATTCATGTTGATCTCGCTATGAGTACTTTTTTTTTTTTGCCAAAGTTAAAAGGGAGAGGGGAAAAACTCACATACACGGGTAAATTGAATGCCTTACATTCGATGGGCCAAAATTGCGGGAAAAAAAAAATCCAGACTATTTTCACATAACAGTAGCCCTAAAAGAGAAACCACTAAAAAATATGTCTCATGAGGAACACAATAAACAAGTTAGGCCCAAAAGGCCCAGTTAGGGGCCAATAAAAGTGGGTAGGTACTAGGCAAGCCATATTATTAGCATCATTGGAGTGTTAGGAATTTAAAAGGAACAAATTTCTGAGTCAACTAGCAAAATCTTTTGAGACAATTTTACCCCTCTAAAAACAACTCAAATCCAGCATCATTCGTGCACAAATTTAATTGCTCTTAATTAACAAAGTTTAATCAATTGAAGCGTCATTAATTACTACATGGAGTGCATGAATACTGATCCATTTGGTACATTATACATTACATGAATGGGAAGCAAAAGGTTGTAAGCCATGCGGCAATCAATTTCCATATGCTTGCTCATTCACTATAACTAGGTAGAAATTCATTAATGAAGAAACGAAAAGCCTAGGAAAGTTAAGAGCTATGTAAAATCATCACACCTCTCTATTTCTTCCATAGAGCAAATAGATCCACAAGGGCAGAGATTAATTAACAAAGATGAAGATCTAAGCGTGTGCTGACTTTGATTTTGATGTTCAATCATTGAAAGTATTTTCATACTTCCCTCATCTTCAGGTAAGTAGAAACTCATATGTTCATATCACTAGCAATGTAATATGTGTGCATAAATCTTTTTTTGTCTGTTTTTGATGAATTATTTTTGTATATTTATCAAAGTGTGAGTCGCAGAAATGAGAAGTATCTTTCTAGTAGTATCATTTCTTAATTCATTTTGAATTCATGTATCAAATAATAATAATAATAAATAATAAGTAATAAATTTGAATTTTATGTTTGTCTACAACATTATGTCCATGTCTCATGGCCACCACTGCAGGAATATGACAAAGAAATGAAAGGAGGGAGGTGGGGCACAAAGCCCAAGAATTTCAATACAAAACAGAAGCAGAGGTAAGGCGAGAATATAAAGAGGAGGGCTGAGTTTTTGTAGTTTTTCACAAATCTGGTTTTTAGGTTTGCATGTCCATAGAGCAAAGCAAAAAGACCACCAAGGACAAATGAGCCCCTCCTTTCCTTCCATCATCATATGACTCACAAGTAAATCTATGAAGCAAAAGACATTTATGTATATGCAATCAACTCCCTTCCTCTGTTCCCCAAAACCACACAACCATTACCACCTTTGAAAACTTCCCAAAAACCCAAAGGTTTGAACTTTAGACAGAGAAAATAAAACACCAAATTCTTAGATTTGTGGGTTGTTTTCTATTCTCAATATGAGTAACTGGTTGGGGTTCTCTCTCACTCCACACTTGAGGATCCATGAAGGCTTTGGTGGGGGAGAAGATCAACAAGACCATGGAGGAGGAGGAGGAGGAGAAGGCTTCACTTCTCAAATGACCATCATGCCCTTGCGCTCTGATGGATCTCTTTGTGTTCCTCCTGCTGATCCTTTCAGGCGACCCAACGGTTCTGAAGGTATTGCATGTCACTGTTAGGACATGGTTTCTATGACCACTTGGTGGGTTTTTTTTTATGTGCAGGTTTTGACTTTTGATAATCACTTTGAGTGTTTTTC